CTTTCCTCAGGGCAGGGGGTTGGATGAGATGATGTGCAAAGGTCTCTTCTGATCCAAACACCTATGAATCTATGAAATTAGGATCCAGAGAGACCATTTGAGTCCATACTATTCAAACATAGGCCTCAACTCTGTGGAGCTCCATTGTAGATTATATGGCTTCAGGGAGTCTAAACAAAGTCAGTAATGAGGTACATGACTTCAACATCCTGCCTTTTCAATAGTCCTAGATCTATAGATCTTTGGCACCCAAATCAAAGTGGCTTAACTTTCACAAGTGTTGAGCATTAGTTTAAGTGGTATTAAGAAAACTCAGCTCTTCTGATGGTTGTGAGGCACCCAGACTTGGGCATCTGAACCTTTTATCTGAATCAGTGGTAACACTGGTGAAGGTCAAGCACTTCCATAAAGTTTAGGGCCAGATTCTATTCCACCTATTATTAGGTAAAAGGATGTAGATGCCTAAGTGCAATTTTATTTCATACTGCTTGAAGCCTTGAAAACTATTAATACACAAGGTGGGAGGGTCCTTTTCCTCTGTGTTCTTTTTTTGACTTAATATTAAGGGCCAAATCACGGAATATTAAAAGATTAGATGCAATATGGATGTTCAGGGTTGGATGAACAGGATGAGATAGGATTGTGCTTAGGCACCTAAGTCCTTTTGGCTAGGTACAGACAGTCAAAAAGACTAAGGCTGAATTGACTCAGTCTTTGCAGGTTAGTCTAATATGCATAGATAGAACAGGTAAGGTAGAGAATAGACATTCACTTTTGTTTCTGGAAATGCCTGTAGTAGCCCAGGCCAGAAGCCGGGGGGTGCTAGAGCATGCCTCTCTGCTTGGCTGGAACAGACAGTTTGGGACAAGGCTAGCGCACACACCCTGCAAGGGGGGTGGGAGGGGCTGAGGAGATGCAAAGCATCCTGGGAAGCTGGGGGACTGTGAGTTAACTTGAATCTGGAAAGGATCTGGGACAGAAGTTCAATAAACCAATTTAACCTAAATCAGTTATGTTTGATACTATACCCATCCAGGTTTATCTTAAGCTTGTTTTGGTCATTTTGAGGCAGTTTATCCGCACTGAACTTCTGTTGTATTACAGATTTGAACTGGTTTCCCATCGCTTATACCTGTTTATGTATAATTTCTGTCCCTAGCCTCTATATGCCTAATACATGAAATAGAATCTTGACCTTACTGTTTTGCTATAGAAGCAGATGTTTAAAAAAATATGAAGACAAAGAGGTAAAAGATAAATAAATACTCCCCTATTTCTAAGGCCCACTTCAGAACTTGACTTACAACCTGTGACTTTTCCACCACATTTTTATAGTTCTCTAGGGTTAAGCCTATAATAGAAACACAGAAGCTCTAGCCATAGTGTATCTTGCTGAGCACTGCTGCAATTGAGACCTTCCAAAGCTAAATGTTTTGGAAGAGCTTCTTGCACTCTTTGTTTTAAGGAACACTTTTGTGCTTGTTTGTTCAAACTTGGTTTCTCCAATGAAAGAATGTTCTCTGGCACTAATTCCTGTGTGTCCTAGTTCAGTCCCTTTAGCTCAAGAAGCTAAATCATCAATTGCTAATGTGCTCATTCTTTAGCAAAAAGATTTATACAACATTTGCTGGGAGATCCTCCAGAACAAAAGGTGGCTTCTATTAGTTTTTTACATTAGAATGGAAAGTTCACAGCTCTCATTTTTGTTTTGATTTAGAATAACTTTGTATATATTTATATAAATTTGTATATATACTTATTTGGAAACAGAAGCAACTTCTATTTTCTTTGCTCCCTTTTAGAACTTTATTTATATATAAAACAAAGATTAAAATACACCTCCTGAGTGTGCTATACAGGGTGCATCTATATGTTCATAATGAATCATAATTATGGTGCATTAAGTTTACTGCCTGTGATAACAGGTACTAACTTAATGCACCGTAATTGGTAGAGGTGCACCGATACATCTGTATCGTATCAGCACTGATAAAAAGAAAGTTAACATTATCAGCAACTGGCTTTTTTTGTCTGATGTAGCAGATAATATAGCCGATAAATGCTGCATGCATGTGCGTAGCCACAGCATGCATGTAGCCAGCCCAGCAGCTTGGAGAGAAGTGTCTGGCTGGTAAGTCAGTTGGGAGGGAAGGGGCGGGAAAGGGTGTGTGTGTGTGGGGGCAGATCAAGGCCCCCCATGGTGAGGAAGGGTGTGGGGCTGGGGTAGGTGCAGGGACAAGTGCTGCCCAGCTGGGGTGGGGCATGGGATGAAGCCACAAGTGGCTTGTCTGGGAGGTGCAGGGGGCAGCTCCCACTGCTGCACACACCCCTGGGGGATGCACATGCCCCCCAGATCTGTGCACAGGGTGAGGGCAGGCTGCTGCTGTGATCTGGGGCCAGGGGCAATGCCAGGCTCTTCCTGGTGGGGAGGGTGGGCCCAGGCTGTGCTTGGGGCAGGTGGCAGTGGTGGCGCTGGGAGGGGAAGTTATGGGGTGGTGTCACGGGGTGAGGTCCCTAAGGATGGCTGTGATCTCCTAAGGCCCTTCGATTGTGCCAATTTGGCCTGATGGGCACTCTCTTTTCTCTCCTGCCACATCTTAATGTAAAACTAATGTAGGGAGGCTGCCTTCACATCTGGTCAGACATGGTCCCAATGGACTTCCCTGGGACCCCGTGGGTCCCCAGCCTTATGGGCTATATGCGTGGCTCCAACCACCCCTTTACCATGCCCCAAACCTCGCAGATAGTATTGGTGTTGTCTCGCCTAGGCCTCATTATAATTTGGCCCCTTGTCCTCACTTGGCTCTCTGCAGCCCTGTCTCTGCACCCCTTGGCGCTGGGCTCTCCGCAGCCCTTGTCATTGCGCCCCTTGGCACCAGAGTCTGTGCACCCCAAATGTCGTGCCCTCTCTGGTGCCAGGGTCCCCACACTGCAGTGGGCCCCCAATGAGGCCTCCTCCTTCCCCAAATAGCCTCACCCAAACCAGCGGTGTTATAAAACAACAACCAAACATAAGCCTCTGGGATATAACATAACACAAGCTGCATAAGGTGTGCTCTGCCCCTTTATATTACTAGGAGCAGCACTTAGAGCACACAGAGAGCCTGAGCCTCTTCCCTTCACTCACTCTAGGAGGGCTCCTTCCCCCTTGGCCACCGGCAGAGAACTCCACTTCCTAGTCTCCGATCTGGGGTTTATATATGCCTAGGGCCCTGCCCCTTCCGGTCAGGTGACCAGGTGCAGGTGCAAGTTAATTTCTTCATTAGCTGGTTACCATGGCAACCTGCAGCTGGGCTCCTGTCTGGCTCTTTGGGGTCTCCCCAGGCAGTTTCTGCTCTTCTAGGAGCAGGCACCTAAGTGCCCTGAGACAGGTGGGCTGCATCCCTAATTGGTGCACCCAATTATTTTATCAGTGCACCCCTAGTAATTGGTGCTACTGCACATTAGCACAAATGAATGTTTTTTTAGTCTCATTAATGCACATTAGACTCAATCTACCGTGCATTAGTATGGGCTTTGCCTGCTGCACAGATTTAGTCTACTTTGCTTGGTCATATATAATATCAGACTGAAAACTGGTCATAGAGTAGGAAAAAAACCCCTCTCCATAGAGTCCTGGCAAACTGGTAGATATAAAATAAAGATGACATGCTCATGGGCCAGATTCTCAGCTTATGGAAATCTATATAGCTGTGTTGAACTCATCTTAGATATGCTGATTATTTCTCTGGACCTTTTACTTTACATTTAGTTAGTGATTCCCTTCAACCTCATGGAACAGTTGGGTCTTTTTGCCATGTCAGTAGCACTTTGCTTTGTTTGACTGTTTGTTACCAATGATTTGTAGCTCTGAGGAAGAAAAGAAATTAAAGGCTTTGGACAGACTTTACCATTTACCATTTATCCTGAAGTCAAGCTCTAAAATAAATGGATTCCATCTCATTATCGTGGACATAACCTCGGCTTATGCATGTAGATATTGTGAACCGAAAACATCTATCAAAGTCCAACACCTAAAGCATATTAAAGCATTTCTAAGGCCTGCTTTGTTCTGAGGCTTAACCAGAACAGTCTCAGAGGTTATTTAAATGCCAGATATTTAAACATGCTCAAGCAGTTACTTAATGTTGAACTCTTCTCTTGTGGTGGATATGGATATGCTGACTCACTCTTCTCAGCCTTAGTAGTATCCAGACAGAAGACTTGATTTGTTTATATTCCTTCTCATCATCACAAAATATGTCAGACTTGATAGAGGACATCATCCAGAATAGAATATACAACACTTTCCATATATAATATAAATGATGAAGAACTCAAAGATGAGGACAAAGCAAAAAACAAATAAACCTGCTCTTTTCTGTACAAGTTACTGAGGATCTTAACCCATGCACCCTAATTATCATTAAATATATACAGATATAAGCTTTGATTCTTATCTTTTCTGATTGTGGGGTCTTTGCTGACTTGTCAGTGACATATATTTTGTATTTCTTAAATTTTCACCCTTATTTGAGCCTGTACCCTTCTGCTTATCAGTCAAAAACCAAATTATGGCTACTTCAACACCAGCGCAATGGAAAGTAAAGATATGTGCAGCATTATTACCCCTTTGCACAACCAGGGAGAGCATAGTCATAGCTTGTATGTAGCTTGCGTAACATAAGGACCTGGGAGATCCAGTTACTTTTGCCAGTAATGCTGTTGTTCCAGGAGAGGAATAGCTGATAGGGAGGTGGTAGCTCAGGGTCCTGCCCTCCCCAGTATCATGGCAGGTCCCTGTTCTCTTTTATTTAGGCTTTTATATTATGTTCATCACTATAGTACCTACACACTTTTCTGTAACACAGTATATAACAATGTATCATATGTGGTTTATTCTTTCATTTTTTTCTGTAGATAGGAGGATTGTGAGTGCAATGGGATGTTTTACACTGGTACACTGATTTTTTACATTACTTGTAGTGTTTGTTTCTCATTATAGAACTAGCCTTGAAGTTCCCCTTGACTTCTGAGTCAGAGGTAAGTAAAATGCAATGATCCTCTCCTGGGATATCAATTTTTCAAGCTCCTATTTGCAATATACCCTGGAAAGCTGGTACACTCATTCATTACAGGTCTCTACCTTGTTGTCTTTTGTAGCACTCCTTAAACGTTGTTTAACCAGTGTGGCAGAGAGAAAGGGCTCAGTAAGTACTGTAACAATTGGGTAGGCGAATGTAGTGGAAAGACACAAGCCATATCAGGGGAAAATAAGAATCCTACATATTATTTTCTTCCAAAGGCAATGATAGGTGATAAGAATTTTTCTCTATGGAGATATTAATGTAATTAGATGCAACTAATTTTAGTCAAGATAATTGTCAAAGCACACTTCAGGTACCAATGCTGGTAATCAAGCTGACCCAGAATGTGGAGGGTTTTTAATCAGTGACATACATAATTATGCAAACACCATGAAAGATAAAAGGAACAGCATAAGACTATTATTTGTGAACCTGAAGACAATGTGACTATAAAAATGATTCTTGAATTTTCAGAGGCTGAAAGCTGGATTTCACTTGAAAAGTAGCTAATAGCTTTTATAAAACTGGAGCCTAACACTATCTGATATTCTTAGCAGTTTTTTAAGATGATTTTTGGTTCCTTTATGAAATTGTCTCTTTTACTGTTGTGCTTAAAATATGTGCAATTTATATATTTCCTTCTTAGTCTTATGTTGAGTGAAATTATTTCTATAACAAAGCATTGTCTGTGTGTTTCTGTTTGTTTAGTGACTCGGATGCCAACGTTACTATCAGGTCTGCCCCTGCAATATCAGAAGCCATCTTGGTCAGGTAACAGCTGATAAAAAAAGAATTTGTATGCAATGGATTTAACATGTATAAAAAATGGGTCTGATACCATGATGGACTAAGAAGATCTTGAGAAACAAAGACTGGTATTTAATATGCACCATATTTCAAATAATGTAAGTTTATTTTCTGCTGTAATGTAGAAGCCAAAATTACCTTAAAATTAAATATTCCCCACGGTAGCCTGAAAACAGGAAAGCAATGTACTATGTTTAATGCATTATTGTATACTTCTGAAAATAAGATCAGTATTAACTTTAAATTAGTAATGCTCAGTGAGGTACCATTATTTCAGTAACAGAGCCACTTACTGAGTCTTCAGATTTCATGTTATGAAGAGTTATCTATTTCTGTTACTTAATTCTTTTCCTTTTTTTTTAGTCAATAGGGATTCTGGCATAATTAAATGCAAACGCGATAGAACTCAGTGGTACATATGCACTTCCTTGATAAGGACATGCGTAGAAAATACTGCAGCAAAGAAAAGCAGACTGTACCATGCTGTTTGTAGATAGGGGGTTTCCTATAGATGTTATCTTTTACTCCAGTGTCTGAGGAAGAGGAAAGAAAAAGGAAAGAACAAAAGAGTAAGCAAGCAGTTTAGACAGCATTCTTTCTGTCTAGTCTCAAAAATCAAAACTCTCAGACAGAGACCATTCACTCATCATTATAGGTAGTAGCCACTACTTCTCTCCTTATCAGTACATGCTTTAAACATTGTGGGCTGCCTGGCTGCCCAAGTCTTACTTCACTTCTAACAGAATATATATTAATATGGTTCCTTACCCATTAGTTTGTTTAGAAGGTGGAAATAAAAATAAAGGACAAAAATCTTAGGCTCACACCACGCATTCAGCAAGCCTATGTAAACACAAGTACCATGTTAATATAACTGCATTTTGCTAGGTTTAATATGAGTTTGTCACCTTTGGGTTCTCCTAATGTAGACCTGTTTATACATAAAATGTGGAAGTATATTTAACTCATTGACTTCTCAGACCAGCTTTAGTAGCTAACATATTTTCACTCTTCAGAAGTGAAAAACATCATTGCTGTTGCTGTTCTATAGTTCAAAATGAATGCAAGAACTATGACAATTCAGCAATTGAGGATTCAAAGCTAAGCAGTGAATGCCTACCTGGAATATGGAAATGTCTAGGAGCCTGCTGATAGACAGAAGGTGAAGATTTGCTGTCTGAGTACATGGATAAGCTCGGAGTGCTCCGACCACTTTCACTGCCTCCAAGGGGAAGAGCAAAAAAAGCAGATAAAAGAAAAAATGGAAAGCAAAGTAGAGTACTTCAAGCATAAAAGCTTACTCAAAATGACTTGTTAATCCAACATTTTTAAATAAACAGTTGTTTGTATAATTGAATATTGTTTACCAACACTGTAGTTTCTGACATGACGCTCTCAGCAAAGGAAATGAAGTAGAAAGGCTCAAACTTTAATCAGATCTAGAAACTGGAGTTTGCAATTATGTATACTTGATAAATTCTATCAGTTATAAACTTCAGACCTTCATCTTGGTTTCAAGATCTAAAATTGTCTTTTCAAAACTTGATGTTCCCATAAAAAAGGGAAAATTATCCAGAGATCTGTAAGGCCTTTTGCATAGCATTAACTAGAAAAATATTTGAGAGAGATTTCAGCAAAGGTAAATGTTATGTCATTAAATTACAGCCTGCTCTTAATCCATTAGTGAAAATAATATTTAAATTAGCTCAAAGCAGGACCGCACCAAAAAAAAAAAAAAGATGTTATAGTCGAGTCAAGGCTTTCTGGATGTATACATTACAAAAAGCTGCTGTTCTATTATTATAGTACTATTTTAACTTTTCCCCAAAGGTAACTCTCCTCAGTATTTTATGTATATGTAAAAAAGGGTTGGATTATCAAGTCATGGATATATAATGCCATAGTTAACTTGGCTGAATTTTAGACTGTATAAAGTATTTATTATTTCCTTCATTTTTACTCTTGATTCATAAAATACTCATCAAGTTCCACGTACTTCTTTTCAGTTAAACCTCAGAGAATACTCTATGGCATTATAATGCTGCTTGGCAAACAAAAAAGTAGAGCTTTACTTTTTTGGGACTTGTAAAATCCAATTCATTTGTAGCAGTGTTAAGCAACTGGAAGCTGAACATGACAATTTTACAAAACATAAAACTGCTGTTAATTGGCAATATTCATTTTAGTGTGTATGGTGAGCAAAACTGATGAATATCAATGATGAAGGTACAGAAGTTCTTTTGAAGAAAAGACAACAGTTCAGAACACAAGTTTTAGATGTATAACTGAGCACTGCTATAGGTGAAAGAAGGTATTGTGGGTAACCTTGGGTGAGAAGAGACCATGCCCATAGCAGACCCGGAAAATTTGACTGGTTGGGGCATGGTGTGGGAGTTGCTCCTCTCCCCCAGCTCCCCATGCCTCCTTGCAGCTCTGAGGCTATCTGCAGGAAGGGAATGGGGGAGAGGGAAGGAGGAGTGAGCTGCGGGTTGTGGTTTACCCAACCTGAGCTGAAGGGGGAGGGGGACCTAGGGAAGCTGTGAGGCAGGGGGGCTCCAATCCACCCACTCCTCCTCCAGCTCAGGCTGGGCAAATCCCAGTCTGCAACTCGTTCCCTCTCCCTTCCTGCAGACAGCTTTTGGGGTAGGCTACATGAGCCCAGTCCTGATCTTGTGACAGATTGATGTTAGGGAACAGAAGTTCCTTAAGGCACTCCACTTTGAAGTGCCTTCATCTGATCCCTCATTAGATGAAAGTTAATTTGTTGCGTGATCAGCCACTTTTAAAGCACTTGTGCCAGGGCATGGCTGTAGAGTGCTTTCAGGGGTCAATTGCACAACAAGTGTAACTTCTGTCTGAGCCCAATATTTCAGTAGTAACCATAATGCCCAATCCATTGCTACTGCAGCTGATGGAAGTAGTGCCATGGATATCAGTGGATAGAGGAAGAATTTATGTAAGAGCAGAAGAATGTGCTGTGTCACTAGTTAATCAGTTTTAATTTGGGGCCTTTTACTGTCATATTGCAGAATGAAATGAAGATAATTAAAACCCCCTTAACTACTGGGAGTCACTTCAACAATCTACTTGGTAGCAATAATTTGATAAGATCATTTTTCCAAAGTTAAAAATTATTCTGGACAGTTTTGAAATTGAAATTCAAGAACCATTAGCTAACATTTTATTTTATCTCCGATACTCTTTGTGGAGTGACCTTAAATCTTCCACATGGGGCAGCCTGCGTGGGAGCCTAAGACTTTCTGCCTTAGGAGTAGACCAGGACAAAAAGGGTGACTGAAGAAATATCAGTTTGGCCACTGGTGCCAGCTTTTTCCTAGGCACAGATTATTTCTTCCCTATGCTAGATCAGATGCCAGGCCCCAACCACCTACACAGCAAAGCTACAGCTTCATCCTAAATAGACAGCATGGAGTAGAAGTGCTTCCTAGTTAAGGTTGATGCTTTCCTTTTATAATCTCAGTTATTCTGAATCCTCTTGTTTAGGGTTACCATATGTCTGGGTTTTCCCAGACATGTCTTCTTTTTTGGCTGTCTGTCCTAGTGTCTGGGTGGGTTTTTAAAATGGGAGCAAATGTCCAGGTTTTTGGCCTTCCTCTGCTTTCCTGGGCTGGCTGCTTGGGACTGAGAGCAGTGGGCAAGGTGACTGGCTGTCAGGGGTCACGTGCTCCCTGCACAGGACAACAGATTTACCAGCCAGACCTGACTGCTCTTCACGCTGCCAGGCTGTGCTCTTGGCCGCCTGCCTGCTGTGCTGCAGCTGGGCACATGCTCGGGACATTTATCGGCCACATCAGCCAAAAAAAGCTGATCGTCGATACTGTCAGTTTTCCTTATATCAGTGCCAACCTGATATGGGACTGATGTATCGGTGCACCTCTAAACATTTTAGGTTCCTAAAAGATTCTGTGTGGATATAAAAGCTGAGAATGAGGAATTTCATTGAGCTGGGAATGATATACAGAGAGGGATTCTTTAGAGGTAATTTCTTGCTGCACCTGGTACCAGGAAGAGGCACTGAGTAGAAAAGAGCTGAGAAAGAGAGGATAGGGGCAGGGAATGTAAACACATAGGAGTGAAGACTGTAAATCAGCAAACTGCTCTGCGTGGGGATCATCTACATCAAGCAGTTTGCATGATCACAGCCTAAATTTGCATTTAGAAGGGATGCAGGCAGGCGGGAAGGAAGCTATTCTTGGGCACCCTTACACTATGCAAGCTAACACTTACATTATATAAAAAGATTGTTTATGATTGCGAAAGGTAGGGATATAGTTGGATTTTGCATCTGACATACAAAAAAAAAATCTCTCATAACAAAACTTACTGAGGCCTGTGAAAAGATCCACAGACTCATTTTTTTCTCACTTATAACCCTCCTAACTGAGACTTCAGTGGGAATTGTACCTTGTTTGATGTTTGCTTGGGTAAAAAATAAGTTAGGATTTCAAGACAGGCCCCACAAAAGACAAAACTATTGAAAAGAGAAATTTTATAAGGTTTTTGGTTTGGTTCTGTGCCATAAGCAGCCACAGGCTGTGACCCAATCCACTCTCTAGACTATGTGGGGCGAAAACATAAAATCATGAACTCTTTCCTGGACTTGGTTTTATTTGACTTGGAACGAATCTTGAAGGGTTTACTTTGAACTTAAATATCAACCACAGAAACAGACTTGTGTCTCTTGGCTTTAGCAAGACAGGCTGCCCTTTTACCCTTGTATGTGTGCAGAAGACTGGCAGGCCTAAAACATGTTGCCTTCCCCTACTATCTGAGAGCTGGTCAAAAAGCCTATGTTTTACATCTCCTTAGGCTCAATTACATGCTCTCTGCTCTCTAGCTCTCACTTTCCAGACTAACCTTTCATACTGCAGCATTTTCTGTTTCTTGAACCATGGGGAATATGACAAGATGTGTGTAGATTCTGTAGCCAGAAAGCTATCAGAGCTGAGCAGCATGCCTTCAAACCTCTCTACCCTGGGATTTCATAGCATGCATTGTGACCACTGTTTCAAAACGGGAGCAGTTACCACTGTAACTGCAATCTTTCTTGAATTTAGATGTTGGGCCCATTCATTAGGCCAACTAAACTTGATTTCTATTTGAAGCCTTGAAAATAGCAACTGTTTGTTCAAACCTTTGAAACCATTGGTCACATTTACACAAGACATTTACTGCGAAGCTGCCTAATTAGTTAGCTCATGTCCCAGCCAACTGGCTAGCCCCACACTGGAGACTCTCATGCTCAGCCAGATCCTTTGCAGCATGTTGAGCTGGGCTGGAGCAGCCCTGGGTTAGCGGGCTGGCCCCTGGGACCCCCTGCCAGCTGGGGCCAATCCAACCCGGCTCAAAGTGCTGCAGTCCTGGGCGCACATTCAAACCTGGCACCCAGGAGCAATAAACTCCGGCACACATCACTTCAAATTGATTGCATGTGTAAATGAGTCCACTGAGTACTACAACAGACTAAAGGGACATTCCTGGGGAAACCCATATATTAAAATAAACAGGTGAAGTTCACTGTTTTCTAAAGAGTGGACTTTTACTCCACATGGGCCGCACTCTTGCAGACTCCTTGACTTTAAAGGGACCACAGTTAGACTAATGCTGAGCACTCATAAAATCCTACCCTATGTTATTATTAACTGTCATAATAAACTGTTGCTTGTATGGGAGGTAAGGAGGGAGTGCAGAAACTCAGGAACAACAGTCCTGTGGCAAAAATAATGAAGGCAAAGCCCACTAAAGCCACGAGAATTTTAATTCTCTTAGTGGCAGAGAGGTCCCTTTATTTCAGAAATAAAGATAAATATTGGATAACTAAAGGTTAGATTCAGTTTTGAATACAAAAGGTCAATTTTAGTACTGTTAACCGGCGTGTCGTCTTGAGATGTGTTCAGGATTATCAGATAGCCAAGCGTATTTCTAAGTATTTTGAATGGAAATGGTAACAACTATCTTATTTTGAATATAAAATGATGCCCATGTCAACTAAGAGTTGTTTAACTATATCTCATTTATTTTTGGTCCTGCCATATGAATTAGTCCATGTTTTTTCTCATACTTTAACAGGCAAAAGAACAGCAAATCGTTCACCTCAAACACTTACCAAGGCAAGGAATGAGGACATTCTAGTACTGAGAGGGAGGAACTGGGAAGTAGGACAGAAGGACACATCCTAGGGAGTCCTTTTTTGGCTAGGGCACTTATTCAATGCATAACGGTAGGGTAACTATGACCCATAGGCTTCAGTTTACTCATATAAAAATACTTACCTACCTCACAGGGCTGCTGCGAGGCTTAATTACTTAATACTTGCAAAGGGTTTTGAGTTCCTTGAGAAAACGTGCTACAAAAATGCAAAATAATATTTTTGTGTTTGGAACAGATGGATGCCACTTGAGGGATTGTTTTCCAAACAATATCAATAAGAAATTGTTCCTGCATATGGCAACAGCAGGTAGCCTGAACATACTGACCAAAGTGTGATCAAGTAAAAGTGCTGCTAAGCAACTACTGATCAGCTTTCAAATGAGAGCATTTCACACCATGTAATCATGCAGTGCAGCACACAGACAGGTTTTCTAGCTAAATACATCAACTCTGACAAAACCTATACGCGTAGAAGAGTGTCTGTGCAGTGCCTTGTCACGGTGTGCTTCAGCCCTCTGGGAAGGGGAGACAGAATCTTTGTAGGTAGATTGTTGTTTTAAAAAAGTATCACTAGATTTCTAATCTATTCTCTCTCTCCAAAATTCCCTCTTCAGCTCATATTTGTCAAGGCATGAGCCTGGTTCTAGTCTCATTTACACCACCAACACTCCAGGGACTTTTGTGGAATTATTCCTGAGTGAGTTGGAACCCGATCCAGACCTACCTGCCGTGTTTTCAAAGGGACTGAACACCTGCTACTTATATACCTTGGGGGAGTGTTACATGTCACACTTAGCATGTGTTAACCCCACTTAAAATGCTAGCATCCGAGTGTTCAAACAAGACAGCATATGCTAAGTGCTCTTGTATCATAGTAAAGTTAAGCCTTTTCAAGGGAGGAGTATCTCCCATTCATATTAAGTAACACATGTGGCCTGAATGTGGGACTGTTCCACAGAGATAATGCGATCAATTAAGATCCTGAGGCTGGGAGCCACACTCCACTGATTGTCGGTCCCAGCCCCAGGACCTCATGGAAGTCTCCAACCAGCTCTGGTGCAATCCCAGGGCTGAGACCAAAAATCAGCTGAATGACCCAAAGTCTTGAACTGGCATTAATACATGATTGCTCATAAAACTTCCCAAGTCATACTAATGCTTACTACAATTGATCTAAATATAACACACACTAAGTATCCCATATAACAAGGCCCTCTGAAAGGAAGATGTGTTTAGTAGTCACTTCCTTTCCTAGCTAGGACGGCACATAAAAATAGTGCACACTAGGAGTTGAAAATGGTTGTTATCCATGACTGTTTGTTTCTCTTTCCTCTCCACTTTCATCTTCCTTGAAGAGGAAAAACTCAGGGGAGGACACTCTTATAATCATTAAGCATGCAGTCTTCCTCTCTAAATAACACGTTGAGCAAAAGTGCACTCTGCCTCAAAGGTTCAAGGGATTCCCCCAGTGCCTCCCTGTAACATGCAGACCATTAATAATTCATGTGTATTTGCAAAAGTTTTAATAGGAATGAGAACCAATCTATTGAGAGACACAACACAGGGTTAAATGCAAGCATAGCACCTTAAACTGGCCAGGTTCACAGATGATCAGTGGAGCACTGCTGATTTAACTAGATGAGGATCTCACCCCACTATGTTTTAATCGTTAAAAAAAACCCCTCAAAACCCCAAAACCTGACTAATTCTCTACATGGAAGTTAAAAGGTTGAATACTTGATTGTCCAGTGTTTGAAAGGGCCTTCTTCCAGTAGTCCCTTAGTTTCACTGAAATATGGAAATGAGATTAAACATTTCTGTAAGTTACAACAAGCAAAATTTTAAATACTTTTCTTCCATTTTCACTTCCAAATCCTTTTTTCTCCCCACCTTTAGAAAACATAGAACATTCACTGAAACTAAAAAATATATAAAACCAGCAGGTCCCGGAGACTGACAAGGTACGTCAAGAAAGCACTTGCACAAAATTAAGACAAACTTTATCCAGTTGGAAGCCATGCTTGCACAGACATCAACTTGAAACACGTTTGGAGAGGTCTACAGTTATCACAGC